TATATGGTTTTGGCTAAAACTTGAATAATATTGAACAAAAAAAAATTAACTTGAAAAACATTGGGCATATTTAAAAAAAAATCGGTCACTGAGTTAATGTATATAGATAAAGCACTACGACCAATATGTCTTTTGTGCCCGGTTTAGAGGCTATACATTTCAGAATAGATTCAGGGGACAGGTAGTGTATGTGCCCCACTCTTCGCCACAGATGCCTTATGCTCCCCTCCTCACTACAGAAGGAGGTGTCTACGTGGCAGAGTCACAGAAGTGGCATATGTAGATCGCCTAATCAGATTTCTAGCTTATAAAACCTCTTAGCCTGCACTGGCCCGTCAAAAAGTCTGTGTGATACTTACTTTCTCCTGGGTCTCCCCATGAGTAGCCTGCATCTTTTCAGATTTGACCCCCCCTAGTAAGCTTTTCGCTTAACGAAGACCCGTGTTGTTACGCCAGTGCAGTTCCCTTAACTCGGTATTTTCCTTTCTGAGTGCATCCTTTATCGTGTTGGGAACTACTCAATGAAAGGGCCCAGGTCCTATTAGGGTCGAAGCAGCTGATTCTCTTCCTCATTTCCTTCGACTCGCATGTGCCCATGGTATCCATAGCGATTGGATAGTATTCTAATTCTATTCTAGAACCACTGAGGATTTGACCTACAAGATTACGAGAGCCTTGAGTTCAGACTGACTATCACTTTTAAAGATAGGGACCTCTCACTGCGATAATTCCTGCGAAGGTTGATCTCAGCTCATAGACTGATGGGGCACCGAAAGCTACAGTCTGGGGTTATATGCGCTTACGCCAGTAGCCTCCAGAGCCTCAGAGCCGTTTGTATACTACAGGGAGTGCGCTCATTTGGACTTGCCTCTCCATAAAAGAGGTACTCTTCGACGCCTTGCTGTATGTATCAACCTCAAGCCACTGCCTCTTAGGTCGTACCATCATGGTGTACGTTGATCTTAGGCACCCCCAGGATAAGTCTCAGATACTTCTCACTGTGGTAACGCCGACTACGACTCTATCCAAGACCAAGTTCCTCATTCCCTTGAGAGTTTATTTCTTTTCATTACAAAAAATAAAAAAATAAAAATCGGCAAAACCTGATAAGCAAATTGACAGGGGAAAAAAAATATTTTTCACATAAATTGCTGGTGAAACCAGCAGTTAGTCATAAAAAGTTTTATGCAAATAAAGCGAAAAGAAGTGCATAAAATCACGAACTTTTATACATACATATGTAGATTTTTTTGTAATTCTTTTTAACTTCCAGTGAAGAGAGGTGTTGTCCTTTGCCCAACAAAACCTTGCATTATAAGCAATCTTGCAAACCATTTTTAATTTTCTTATTAAAAATTTCCATTTCCATCTGAAGTATTTATATATGTACATGTGTAACCTACAACAACGACTTTCAAATCTAAACCGTTAATAGAAAATAAACCTCATACATATGTACTATACACATTCATTCATTCATTGGACATTTCTCCGATTATAATCGCATGGAAGTATGCCAATGTACATATGAGAGGCCTAATCGCCACATATGCTTACACACATACATATTTATGTAGCGGATGGCGTGAAGAGATCAGCCCTTTTTCCTCTGTTATTTTCTATTAATTGTTAAATTACCCTCTAAGCGGATTTCTTCCGCTTAACACCTACTTATTGCTTTGTTTTGGCCTTTTTCTTTTTTTCTTTGTGGTTTCATACAAAAATTTCATCGTAAGCGCGTTGTTGCAATCAAGAAATTACTGCCTGCTTGTGAATGAAAGTGTCGTTTTGTCTCATTCATTAGAAAAGTATTGTAACATACGAGATTTAAAAACACTTCGACCTAGGATAAACTCATTTGTTTTTTTTTTAAATCCTATTTTGGTGTTAATATGTTTGCTTCTCTTTTCTAGAATTGACTTAAATTAAAAATTGTAATATTCGAACTTTTCTAAGATCGTATAGTGCGTAAAAATGCGTGCAGAAAACTATCTGGCTTCATCCCCAGCAATGCCAAAAAAGAAAAAGAAACATGATCAGAAATTTACTACCCTGCAGGGAAACCGCGGGCTAGTGAATCAAATTTCTAGTTCCGTACTAGGTCGTTATCCCCAAAAAGGAACTAGTCCGATAGGAACTAGATCCCCACCAGTCCAAAATCGGCGAAAAGTGGTACTTTTAAAAAACAAATTTTTTCAGTTTTTTTCACTACAAATCTATATCCAAAGTGACGAATTTAGAAATAGTACGGAACTATAGAAGAAGGGATGCAGAACGCACTAGATCCTATTTGTCGAATTTAGAACTATTTCGGAACTATCGAATAAGGGATGCAGCGGGGGGCTTGTTTACTTTACATAGATATGTGTTCGGCGGCTTTTTCGTTCAAATACGCTTCTATTCTGTGCTTCGCAGATGCTATTTCAAAGTTTGGTAATACAAAACAAAGCTTTGTGTTAACATATTAACATTTTGGGGCCATCTGGAATCTAACCAATAACAGCGAGCACCTCTGCAAAGTCAGCTACAGCAAGGTATGTAAACGTACATTTCTTACAATCATTCAAACAAATTTAATTTCAAATTGAAAATAATGTAATATCGCACACGGAAGAACCGAAAAGACTGAAAAATCATGATACTTTTTTCTTTCGTCTGTCGATTTTAGAACTGGTTCGGAACTATAGAATTTAGGACTAGTTCGGAACTATCGAAAAAGGGGTGCAGCGGGGGGCAATTGACACTTCCTAGGACATCGCCATGTTAAATTCGCCAGTTGCTTGCATGCAAAAGAGATTTATCTAGAACCAGTACTGGGTCTAAATGTACTAGAAGCGCACCAGTTCAAAACTAGAGATTTTCCCCACAGGGTAGATACTAAGGACATTTTTCTTTAACTAAAGCTGAAATCATAAAAAATAACAAGTAATGGCAGTGCTATGTCGAGGGCTTCATTCATGAACCTCAGAAAATTATACTTCAACCGATTACTGCATTTGAAATTAGTTGTTTGGGAGCTAAAAAAAATTGTATATGTAACATATGTACATAGATGGATGAGTTATATAAAAGATCTCATAACTGAACAATCAGTGTTGGAAGATATGCCTTATAAAGCACCGATCTAAATGATTTTGACTACTGTGTATGATCTATATGTAAACCGGTAACAAAATCTAACGGTTTTAGTTGCGTTGGATTTCCATGCAGACACTATTATCGGTGTTAATGCTGGTTCCCAAGTAAACGAAATTTTCTACTTTCTCGAAATTATAACTGTTAACAGTGACGTGGGTGCCAAGTGCGACTGCGCTGACTGTTTGTTTGATGACAGGAGATACTTCGTCTTGTCCTCGTTGACCGCCAGACCCATTCGCTTTGCTTCCTTATCCAACTTTGAAAAGGCAGAACAGACTTCGCGGTTTTTGTTGCCGATGATGTCGATGTCATCGGCATAAGCCAGCAATTGCACGCTTTTGTAGTAAATTGTTCCTAAGCGGTTCAGCTCTCCAGCTCTTATTATCTTCTCCAACATTAGATTAAAGAAGTCACTTGAAAGGGAGTCGCCCTGTCTGAAACCCCGTAGGGTAGAAAACGGCTCGGAAAGGCCTTTCCCAATTCTGGCGGAGCTGGTGGTATTGCTCATCGTCATTTTACACAGCCGTATTAGTTTCGCGGGTATGCCAAATTCAGACATCGCGGCGTATTGTGCCTTTTAGTGCTATCGAAAACGACTTTGAAGTCGACAAATAGGTGGTGAGTGTCGATCCTATTCTCGCGGGTCTTTTCCAAGATTTTGCTTATTGTGAATACCTGGTCTATGGTGGATTTGCCAGGGCTAAATCCACACTGATAAGGTCCATGAAGTTTGTTGGAGGTGGGCTTCAGTCTTTCACACAATACACTCGTAAGACCATGTAACCTATGATTAGAAGGCTGATCCCGCGGTAGTTGGCGTGTATGGCGGGGTCACCTTTCTTGTGGATTGGGCAGAGCACACTTAAATTCCAGCCGTCGGGCATGCGTTCATCTGACCATATTCTGCATAATAGTTGATGTATGTACCTTATCAACTCAGCTCGGAGTTCGTCTTCTCCACAGCTTTCAGAGTTGTTCAGCAAGGACCTTATATTTGTAAAAAAATTGGAAGTAAACAACGAAATATTTGAATATGTATAGATTGTAATAATTAGTTAGTGATATTTCAGCCAAATCAGTGTTGTACAAATGACATGTAAACAAACCGACTGACGTTTTTACAATAAATAGTGCTTTTTGCGTTCCTGTGCACTTCTGCATCTGTTCTCCTTTTACTCTCGCTTGAGAGTTGTAGTTTGACCTGTGGAACTGAGGTTTTAGTCCGAAGTTCAAAGGAACAGACTAATTATACTTCGCGCCGCGGCTAGAATTTTTCCGTTATTTCCCGCTGACTTTGAAATTTCAAGGTTATGATCGATTAAAAAAATTATTTAAAATTTTCACTACACTGTAGAATTATAAAATGGTACCAAATTAAAGAGAAAATTCTGTAGGATTGAACAAAATAATATTTTCTGTTGAAAAAGGAGGAATTGATTTTTTTTGTGTAACTAATCCATCCATCTAAATCAAATAGAAAAAATAACGATTCACTGACTTTTATTATTTTGCAGAATTTAAAATTTTATTATTTTTAAAGATTTTGTTTTATCAGCATGGTGTTTTAAACTTTTTTTTAGTAAATTCATAATATATTTAAATAATTTAAAATATTCGATAGTTTAACAAAAATTAAAAACTACAAGAAAAATATGATTTTAATTTGCACATATTCGATATTATGTTTAATATTTTCCTAAGCCTAGTTCGAATTGCCTCTATTTACAAAATATTTACTTACATATACATACATATGTACATATATCGTACGTTTGCTGCAAGGGTGTCATAATCCGAAAAAAATCAAAATCTCTAGAAAAACGGCTTTAAAGCTTACTGTTTACATACATATGTATGTACGTTCCAATTGTAAAAAGAAGACATTTTTTTTTTAATGATTTATCGATACAGCTATGCAATTTTTACACAACATAGAAGAAAAGGTTGCGATCATTTCTGCAGACTTTGTGGACATTTTTTTTTTTTGGATTATGCCACTCGTACAGCATAGGTACGTTATGTCCTCGTATGTTTGTTTAATAGCTTATAATACATCTTTTATTTAAATTCATAAACAGTTGGGTGATTCCATTTAACTCGAAAAACTTGTTTCTGTAAAATAGTTTTCGTACATGTTTTGACAGCTGAAAAAAAGCTTACTTTCGAAGTTTGTGCTGTTTTTTGTCATACTTTCTGGGAATACCCTAATTATGTATTTTTACAGCTTTTCAATTGTGTGTAGTGCTAACATTTACACATTTTATATTCGTAAATTCAGTTTTTCATGTTGCTTCATATTATGATATCTTCTTACATTTACTTGCTATGCATGGATGCATGCATTTGCAATTTGTTTGTATCTACTAAATTTTTTTGGATATATTGCCAACAAAATTCATGCAACTTTCTTTTTTTACCATACAGAATACGAAATACATAGTATGTACATAAGAGTCGGAATCTAGGTTTTCCTCTTGAAACTTCAAATTGTTTAACTTTTCTGCGCGCAGTTCACATCGTACAGGGATAGTGGCCAAAATTTCGACGGCGTTTCGGACCATTCTGTTAGTAAACTGCAAGTAAACAGCTGTTCCGCTTGTCAATAAAATTCTATTTGTCAGTACAGCACGCAAAGCTCTAAGCGCACACTCTTATTTTGGGGTGGCAATTAACTTTCGTATCACTGGTGACCTCCGCCATTTATCTATGTACCTGCTATGTAGTTATAGCCGAAGCACTTAATAGTAAAAATTCGTCGTTTGTTGCAACTCTTGCCGCATAGCCGCCGCTGCTGCAGCTGCCGCAGCTGCTGACGTCACCGTCGTCGCCGAACTTGCATCCGATTCTGAATTTACTGCTGTGCGCTGAGTGACCCCCGCCGCAGCCGCCGCCACTGCTGCGTTGGTCATCCACTCTGCCGATGTTTCCAACTAGAATCATAAATGCTGATATTCGCTCATATCGTAGATGGGTATCGAACCCATGACGCTGTGCAGGTGCGGATATGCGACCGATAGTGGCGCCATTTGTCCAGCCGCAGCCGCTGCGGCTGCTGCTGCAGCAGCATTATTACCATTTTTACTACTCGTGGACGATGCAGCGGCAGCGGCTGCTGCTGCAACAGCTGCTGAACTAAGTGTGCCGCCGCCACTCGTACCTCCACCTGAGCTAACAGAGGTGGGCGAGAGACCCACTAATTGTGTGGCGTTTAAGCTGTGCGGGTGCTGATGATGCGTTTGTTCCATACTCGTCGCTGCACTGGTGTGATGCGATTGCGGTAATTGTGCGGCAACTGCTGCTGCAGCTGCAGCGGCTGCGGCGGCATGGTGGTGATGGTGATGATGATGATGGTGATTATTGAGCGTCGCTGTCGGGGATAATTGTTGCGCTTGCTGTTGCTGTGATTGTGGCTGATGTGATTGCGCATGCGCAGCGGGATGCTGGTGATGGGGCGATTGGTGTTGATGCGCTTGATGGTGATGATTATTATTGGTTGCTATGTGCGTTTGCTGTAGCAAAGAACTTTCCATCTCTGAATCGCTGGATGAATCCAAGTGTTGTTTGTCCGATGCGCCACTGCAACGAGAAGAACGAGAAAAGTGTTAGAAGGTTTTGCAAAAAAGGAAAGAAAAGGAAATTATTTTAATTTGCATTGGTTCAGTCTAATTTGTTGGGGCAATGCTTTCTATTTGTAAACTCAAACTCTTGTCGACCGATTGCAACGCGTTGAAAGCAAAGAAAAAAAAAATGTTTTTCTCAGCACTTTCATAAAATAATTACGTTTCGGTTAATACCAATCAAATTGTTGCCATTGAAAAGAGAATTGCTGATGGCAACGCTGTGATAAAATCCATAGAAATTATCATATCTAGCATCAACATCCTCACAACAACAAATATGTATGTACATAAACGACTTAACAGCGTTAAGAACTCACACTCGCTCACTCCCCTTCCCGTACACGACCCCACCAAAATTCCATTATCAACCCATTTATTGTGCCTCAGTCGTCAAAATCGTTCTTCGCATAGATATATGTAGGTATGTACATGGCTTTGTATGCAGCAGTTATTGTTGTTTGTTGTTGGCTTTGTAGTTAATGCTGCCGTGGCTGCTGCTGCTCTTTTGAAGATATCAAATTTCACACGACAGAAAAAAGAAATAAAACAACAACAGCACCAGTGGCAACTAGCAGTATTCACTAAACAAAACAGCAATGGCAACGGCAACGGCAACGGCAACGGCAACGGCAACGGCAACGGCAACGGCAACGGCAACGGCCTCACTTCGACTACGGTTATGGATGGTGGATGGTGGAGACAACAATATTGCTTAAGCCATTGCTGAGCTGAATGATGGAACACTCAGCGAGTAAAAGGCAAACATTCGTTCATTGCTGTTGGTTGACCGTGCTTTTTGTTTTTAAGACTACTGTAGAGTAGAGGTGCAAAACTATCGATAGTCAGGCCATCGATAGTTTTCGATATTATTTTCAAAACTATCGATATATCGTCGATAGTATCGTATTTATATGGTTTTGGCTCAATTTTCGTATGAAGATTTCCTTAAGAATATATTCCGAAATTACGTTTCGATAACCTTGTAAACTGCTGGACACTTTTTTTAATTGTTTAACCGTTAAGTTAGAAGTAAAGTTATTGAAAATTTGAAATGAATTGAAATGGAATAAAATTTTGAAATTTTATATTTGTGGTTTTCGATATCCTCCGTCATATATAAGGCATTCATCAAGTAAATTTCAATTTTAGAAGAAGAAAACATTTTTTATCTGAGAAGTAATGGTTTTTATCTACCTTTTATTAAATAGTAAATAGTGGTGCATAGATAATATTGGAAGTTTTGGTATAAATTAATTTGTATCAGTTTTTAGCAGTATTTTAAGAGATGCAACTTGGATGTTTAAGAGAAATGAAAAGAAAAGAAGAAATAAAACTAAAATAAATACTGAATCACATGTCTGTCGGACTATCGATAGGACCAAAAAACAATCGATAGTAGGGAAAAATAAAAAACATCGATACTATCGATAGTGCCATCGATAGTTTTGCACCTCTACTGTAGAGAGCATAACCTATAATGTAGTCGGTGATGCATACATATAACCGTGTCGACAAAAGTACCTTAACAAATACCAAATGAGGGAAATCCTTATGTGTAGGCTTGCAAATGTGCGCGCATTCTCGATAATGTCAGTTTTTGAATTGGTTCTAATTGTGATTGCCTGTCTCTCTATACTCGTACAAGATCAACGACAAGCTGGCTGATCATCGTGTTGATGATCAGCTAGCGATACGATAAATACCTATGTATGTATGTACCTACAACAAAGCTGTCAGCGTTAACAACTAGATCTGGGTCATTAACCAAAATACAGACGCTGTCGAGTCTGCTTTTACATAGTTATGTAAATACCATGTACGAAATTGATTTAAGAAGAGCCGCTCTTTTGTAAACGGGCCTACTGCGAAGTTCCGCAGATACATACATACATACATATATGTACATATGTTTCATAGAATACAATTTGAAGGATTCAAAATGTTGGCTTGAAAAGATGAATCATCGTCTGCCAATTGGAAGACACACAATTGAACACGAAAATTCCAAAAAATCAGCAAGTAGCATAGGGAGAAATACTGTATGGAGGAGTATCTGGATACGAAGTTTTAGTTGCTTGACTCTATTCAATTTCCACTCTTGCGTCTATGCTCGTGAGCTCTGGGCAACGCACAGTGGGAAATTGTCGACTATTGTTCAAAAAAGGCTATTTTTTAAGTACTTGGAACGGATTTTGGAAAATATTGTCCACGCCCAAATTTAAAAACAGGTTTAGATTTTTATCAGCATATGGTGAAAGTCGGAAAATTAAAAACAGATAGACCGTCAAAAAAAGTAATATGTTTTTGATGATAAATTTAAGATTTTGAAGGTAATAAAACCGTTTTTATGGCAGATTCAAAAAGGCGGATACTATCCAAAACTCTTATCCTTTGGATTTTGGTAGATAAAATGTGCCATATTAAATCGGCCATTTTGAATTTCATCAGAATCGTGTTCAAAGACCTCAGAAAACTAGTTTACCCAATTAAAAATCTGAAATTTGTTACCAAGAAACTAGTACTTCTAGTTTAATCATATCTTAAATTTTTCGGCTTCCACCATTTGCTGATAAAAATCAAACCCTTTTTTACTCGAGCCTAGATTTCCTTTTCTAAAATCCGTTTTAGCCTTTTTTGAACAAAATAAGTCGATAATTTCCCACTATACAACGTGAGCAAGCCATGTGGTAATCAACCCGTAACATAGCTAGAAGCGAGCTATAGCGGAGACTATTCGATTCAGTTTAAGGGTTCCCTTAAGTCTGCCACGTCTATTCATCATTATGTACGACTGCAATCCGGTGTGGCTTGCTATATACTTAAACGTATCCATTAAATTTTTGAGACCCACCACGCGAAAGCCCACTCCAACGAAACCATGGTTCAAGCCTCGAATGTGACGCACTCTTTTGAAGATCAGCAGGACATAGGTTTAAAGAACTACGATTTGAGAGCATGTACTTGGAATGCCCAGTCCCATTCTGGCCTAGTTTCAGTCTGGATACTGTAGATGTCTGAGCTCCAACCTATCCAAACGCGACCGCTACATACCCAATAAGTCTCCAGCATGTGGAGATTCCCCCTGCCAAGCCAATCAACTCTTCACGTGCCCACTAAAGCCTACTCAGACACCCCTATTGCTCTAGTTTACACTCGTCGAAGCAGCACGTTTTCGAAGCCTACCGTTAGTTGAGTTGACCACAATGATTTATGGACAAACCGACTTTGCCGCTACAAAAAAAAGAAGAAAAAATTCACTCCCTTAAAAGCCTCAGACCGTTTGATTGATGAAATTATATGGAGGTACGGTTGGAAAGTTTAGCCCGCACGACGAGACCACTGTTAGCGTATTCAGGCTAGTTGACTTGTCGAGGTGCGAAACATACTAGTCTTCAGAATTAGGTTCCAACTTTCATACCGTCTCTTGGATAACCTATTAAACACACTGACTCTGCAATGACATTTCTCGCTTCATACGTACCGCTGCTGAGGAAGTAATTGGATATCAATGACCCCCGCAGCTATAACTGGTACGACGAAGAATGTTCAACCGGCAGAGAGATGAAAAGCGCTGCCTAAAGCAAGACGCTTCTGTCTAGAGTTGAGAAAGAAAAATGGCGACGTACATAACATTAAAAACAAGAGGGATGTCGAAATACGCGCACAGAGCTAGAGATGCTGACCCTTAAGAAAAAACACCCGGAAAATATCCAGAAATTCAGCGGCTAATAGGAGTTCCCAAGACTGCTGCCAGCTTAACAGCAGTTCGAGAGACTGCTATCAGCTGTGGCCTGTCTGTTGCGGTCTATTCCCCTGCGTACTCATATTTTCACACTTCCGCGGAAAATGTGCACCATAGAAAAATATCTACATAAGTGAATAACACGCATATCTGTCAGCAACTATTATTGCTGACAGAAGCAACAACAACCGAAACGACAATTACAATTAACTATTTCCAACGACAATTATATGACTATCTAGCCAATTCCCCAAAGTGAAATTCCATACATGAACATTTGTGTAATCATTCTACAGCCAACCATATGCTGATATCACTTGCAAAACAAAAACAAGCATACCACAATGTACATAGTCGAGCATACATACATATGTACATAAAAGTCAAATTTGACATTGTCGCGTTAACGCGCGATGAGTGTTGATGCTTCCCCCTCGCCTTGCCACATTGCAATTGAACACCTAAAGTGCATCCATCACAAGTGCTCAGTTACCTCGGCCCTCTTGCTAAGTGTTTTACATAAATATATGAATGTGTGTGTGTGCGCGTATGTGCACGAACTGCTAATGCGACACCCTCAATAAGCCTCATTCATTTGCGCACTTATGTTGCTCACATTCTCTGAGGGATTTTTAATTTGAAACGCCCTAATGTAATTTAACCGCCTCGTGCCATAGCCGGCTCGTTTCGTTTGTCATTTTGACTTTATGCCTTCCTGTTGGTGTGCTGTGGAATGTTGGCCGCATTTCATTTCGCAATTTCGAGTGTTCTAATTCCTTCCGGTTTCTGTTTTAACCAGGGCTTCGGAGCGGAGCGGGGCAAAGGTGCAAGGAACTAAGGAGCAAAGGATTTTAGCTGGAGCGGAGCTGGAGCAAAGAGCTAAAAAAATTCATTTGCTCCTTAGCTCCTTAAAGTAAATTTCCAATATTTTGATTTTGTTATTTTCTGGCCTAGTTTTTCCACAAACATTTTCAATAATAACGTCCTCAAGCTCAATAACAAAAAATGTTCAGTTAATAAATGTGCTTAAATTATAATTTTTGCCACGGAAAACAACCGTGTTAAATAAATTTCCATTCTATTTAATTAACTTTTTTTTATTTTCTTTTGGTTGCAGAAGTGTTCCTGGAGCATCTAGAAGCATTTCTGCATCAAAAAGAAATTTTTCAAAAAAATTCCGCCTACATTTTTTTGGTGGTTAGGGCTCGATATGC